ACAGTTCGTATGAGCGAGCCAAAGAGCAATGGAATCCTCGATAGGGAGGTATTTCCATTTGTAATGCTTTGAGCATAAGCCTTCGAATGAAGATCATGGTGAAGGCTTATTCAGCTCTTCCATGCCATTGTTGGCTTCAATGGTTTCTCAGCTTCTCGATAGTCAAGTGGAGATTTACGTCTTCTACCCCACATAAAGTGGTTTCTATTAGAAACGTCCAAATCAGGAAAATCAAACTTGTGACGGTTCGACAATCCACTGAATTAGAGGGAACAAGATTGTGATTGGTGCTATGGGAATGAATCATCCATAAGCATCAAAGTTAGAACATTCGAGTTCTAAGACATGGTTTTCATGAAAAACGTTGGGTTTTCATGGGTGTATTGTTTTATGAAAACTTCGGGTTTCAAAGGCACTAAATTTGAAACTACAGGTTTAATTTAGTTTGTGAACGTTTAGTTCATAAAAGAGAGGTTCCTGCAAGAACACAGAATGCAATATACAACTAAGTGTAGTGGATTTGAGGTTTTTCGGGAACTCAAGTGTGAGAGCTTCGAGACTACGAAAGTAAGTCAACGGTTCAAAGTATAAAAATAAATTATTGAATCGTTAATGTCCAAAAGTGATCTTCATGTCAATGATTTTGGATTCATTACCAGATTAATGGACTGTAGGTCACTTTTAATTAATTCAATAAATTGGGCCATACATGATTGATTGTAGAAGCTAAATAATATTATCGAGTCGAAAATAGCATAGCCCAAAAGATAGGGTTGGGTGCCATGAGTAAAAGAGGTGCTCGGCAGTGGGCTACAAGCCACGGGTCCAAGGGATAAGCCCAGCCATGAAGGCTGGACTGTTGGGCCAGAGAGGGTTAGGCACGGAAGCAGATTCAACAAAATTGCTGGCTTGGTTGTGGCGCGAGGGGACCCAGCCAAAGGTTGGTTGAAAAGCTGCGTGTTAAGGCTAATACAAGCCCAGCAAGCATGGTAGCTTGCTGGCGTGGGCTGAGACAAAGGATTAGGGCTGCAAGCCCGTGCCTGGGAACAAGCCCAGCATGCTTCTAGCATGTGGGTTTGGGCTCGGGTGGACCAGGGCTTTCAGGCTCGTGTGACATGTAAGCCAAGCTAGGGCTTGGTTATGTCTGATGTGGAGCAGCAGGCCCAAAAGGGCTGCGCAGGTGGTCCAATTTGTGAACGCCATCCCACGGTGATATCGTGGTGTTGCCACGGTGATGCCAAAAGATTACCCAAAAAAAAAATTCGAACCTATGGTTTTAAAACCCCTAATTTGCTTCTAATTTATTTTATATACTCACATATTCCACATAGCAAATATAATTGCGTAATGCATGAAACAAATATATATATTGACAAATATATGAACATATACAATATATATATTAGAAGGAAAATATAAATATAGGGGGTTCATGCATCATGGGGAATGTTTTCATGCTTCAAGGTCGTTTCAAATATCTTACTTTATTTTAAGCGTACCTGATTGGCAGAAAATAACAAAAGCCTTTGAATTTGTAGAAGATCATTCTCGGAAAGCCGAAATTGCATCTCCAATGCGTTGTATCAAGTTCAACACAGAAAAATTAAATTGAATCAATAGCATGTAAATCAATTCAAAATAATAAATTAATCACAAAAAGAATGATTAAAACGTAATACTCTCCTGATTGAAGAATAAACTCTCTTTAGCTCAGCGTCAAGAGCGTGCTGATAACATGTTGCAGGCATAATTTACTGAACAATTATGGAGGCCATAGAGAGAGGGAAGGTTTGCCATAGAGAGAAGAAGAGAGAGAGCTGTGTAATTGTGGATGTGTGTTATTCCACCACATTGTGCCTTTATTTATAGTAGTAGAAAATGTTAATTCCTTACCCTTTATGATTACAACATTTAATAGGTAATATACTCCTAATAGGAATAAAAGATACATTCACATATCTACTAGGATTTACACAATCACATTCCTATTCTAATAGGATTGCAACAGTATGGAATTTATAGAAGAATCTACCATAAAATCTTTAGGTATTTCAACCAAAGATGCATTTCTTTCGTTTGAATTATTTGTACCATTTGCATTATTAATTTGTCCATCACCTATTTGTAAAATCCAGTTTGCAAATGAACTTATTTTAATTTTTTCTTCAATGCTTAATCCAATTTTTGACAACCTCATATTTTCTTTCAAATGAATTTTTTTTTAAATGTGGCCACAAATAAGAACTATTCAATCAAGCATTTATTATATCTTCTTTAGTTCCTGAGGAATAACAAGTAATATTTGTCGAAAATGTTTTTGACCCTCATTAAGTTGTGATTTTAAGACTGTATCTTTTTTGTATAATTCTTGACAATCGTAGTTTAACTCTCAAAATCCTGTTTTTTATTTCCTACATTTTCTCTGCATTAGGCATGGGCAAATGATAGTTTTTCAAAGAAGCAGATGCATTATTAAAAAGCAATTCTAGTTCAAACAACACAGAAATTTTCAATTCATCTTGTGGGACAATCATATCAGGAATTCCAAAAGTCTTACACAACTTGTATAAAATGTCATCATACATGTTTTCCCAATGACTATCAAAAAGAATTTGAGGACTTGCTACATCACAAAACAAAATATTGTGACAAACAATTGTCTAAGCTGAGCAGACGGTGCAACATTTACAACATTCGATAAAGCTTCAATCCATTCTTTATCATCACCTAATAATCCTAATGATTTGTGAAGGATGTACAACACCATTGATAGTTTTTATATCATCAAAACTGAGTGCACCTTTTTTAACATTCAAAAGCATTCTCAAGTAATATAATTCACCAGATGCAAGATGTATATATGCTATTCTACCGATTGATCCTTTTTGTTTCCTTGGTTTCCAAGTTTTTTTGCGTGCATCATACAAAATTTTGAGGGCATTTGTGCATAAGTCAGTGCACGTGCTTCATTAAAAATTTGGTTCATTTCAAACCAACTCGTTAACATTGTGTTTTCAAAACATTTTTTATTTATAATTGATTCTAACGATTGATCACCACTGAAAACAATTCTTTGCTCTAACGGTAAATGTACCGGTAATCGTTCTACGGAAGGTTCTCTATGATGCATTGAATATTGAAACAATCTCTAAACAGCTTCATAAGGTGATATGTATCTACAATTCAGATATGCTAATATTTCATCATTTGGATTTTCCTGAAGAACTAAACGTGCTCTATTTGAACCCTTATTTATATACTTGAATAAATACTTAATAAGCATGGATTGACAACATGATTCAATGTTTATGTGAGCATTATATCTCAATAATAAGTATGCGTTATAAGGAACAATAAAACTGTTATAAAATTTTATTCCATTTTTTACAACGTATTTTCCATCATCTGCAGATCTTTTATAGACTAGAAAACCATTTGGTTCAAAAATTATGACAGCTTGTTCCGAATTTTTATATATTTTAATCCCCGAGTGTGTAAAATGATGATAATGCCCTCGAGGCTTAGTGACGTGAATGTAAATATTCAGAATTAAATTATTTGTCTTGCTAGCGTAATTAAATAGTACGCGTCGTTACGAGAACATTGACACAAATTAGATTCGAATTGGGTTCGTAACAAAAACGTTATGAACGCTAGAATAAAATTGGGTTGATTAGCACATGTCCACCAATTACTTTATTTCTTACAATATTGGACCCAATTAAAATGGGTAGGTTGTTTATTTGCCTTTATGGACCAATTAGTTAAGCCTAAATCCTATGGCCCAACCAAAGGCCTTATTATTTCCTTCCTACCCGCATTTTCCCCACTCCAGAAACTTCCCTTTTCTCTCTCCCTCACTCTCCCGCATATCTCTCTCGGTGCTCTTGTTCCCGACGCAACCAAAGCACACACACACATTCATACTCACACACACACACACTACAACCATCAGGACTTTTCCCTTCTCTCCCTCACGTCCTGCTCTCACCATTTCTCATCCCTTAATATGGTGTAATCTCCGGGAGGTCGCTCCGACGAAATCTCCAGCTTTCGATTAGGGTAAGCACCTTAGATCGTTATAAAAGTATGTGAGGATGGTTAAGGGTGTCTTGAGACATTTTGGAATGGTGTGGATGCATAATCCTTGGGGGAAAATACATTTCTTAAATTTTCCGGCGAGTGACCGTGTGTTCTAGGGGGTTTTTCCGGTTGATCCCGTCGGCAACGCCACTCCATCTTGGTAAGGCTTGAATCTTTACTCCTTGATCTTCATTTTGGCTTTTGAATGAAGGTTTTTGGTTGAGTTTTGACCCCGCTAGGGAAGTGTTTCCGGCTAGAACACCAAGTTCCGGTGTTCTTCCTCGTATTTTTCCGGCGGGGCCACATTATGTTTTGGGCCAATTTGGTCCTAGCCCAATTAGGACACCATTATTCGGCTTTGTGACTTCGGGCGCGGGTTCAATTCTTATTTATTGGGCTGTGTTGACAGCCCAATCCTAAAGACCATTTCGAAAAAGAAAAAAAAATTAGAATCTGTTGGGCTGCTGGGCCAGCCCAACCTTTAAGCCATTTCAAATTGGACCTAGACCATTTAATTGCTTTAGGCCTTGTGTTTGAAATGATTTAAGTCCAAAATTTTATTCTAAAAATTTGGGGATGTTCATGATGTTGGATAGACCACAATATTTTCAAACACTCCAATTAAACGACGTATGAGAAGTTGATTCTAGGATTAGTATATGTACTATTGAATTAACGTTAAATTAGTGGTTTCACATTTAGGTGAGATGTATCCGGAGGACGAGCGTAGCCAGACAAGACTTGAAGGCTGCGATCCTGCTACATACTAATGAGTGGGTTTTCATTTTATATATATATATACTTCCCAGAAACTATTTTTATATGAAACTGTGTTTTAAATGACATGTCAAATTCATTGCATTTTGATATATGCATTAGTGTAGATATGCATAATATTCATTGATGCTGCGGAGGCATGAGGTAAGTATATATTGATATTAGTGATGGCATGATGTATGGTTGTGGTTAGATACATATGGTGTTCATTATCCTGCACCCCGGTGTTAGTGCTCCGTCCAAGGCCAGGGTCTATCCTTCACGTGATCTTTCACCTCCCGCATCACACGCTCAACTTGGATCCAAGTCACAATTTACCACAAAAACAACAACACCGAAATCGAAAAAAAACAGAAAACAACAACAATTTGGAAGGGAAAAAAATTAAAATACAGGCACTTGTTGTACCGGTAGGCACACATTGCCTGCTTAGTCTTTGACAATCGAGGTAATGAGAATGGAGGCCTCATCCGTTGTTGGAGCTGCATCATCTGGTCATTAGAAATTCATTCGACAATATTCTCAGTTCACAAATAAATCTTTGGTGCGATCATCGCACAGTCACATAAACAGTTAAGTCTTGTTTGAAGTTATTTTTAGAAAAAGAAAAAAAAATGTATTCAAACACATAACAAAAGTGCTTATGAACAAAAGCAGTTTCTATAAAATGCAATTCCAAATCAATTAAAATGAGGACAAACAAAATACTTTAAAATTATTTTAGAGAAGAACTAACTACTGACCTGGAAGTGATATAGGCAAGTGAGAGACAATGTTGTCAATGATGCCACCTCCACCGCCACCCTCCTCCGCCTCATCTGCCGTCTTCATCCTCTTATTCCCAATATCCTTCATCACCTTCTCAGCTTCTTTGTTCACCTCATCAACCTCCCCTCCTCCTCCTCCTTCGTCGCCATTACTAGGGTTAAAAAAGTTGGAGATGAGATTTGAGAAAAACCCTCCATTACCATTTTCACCGCCACCCTCTCTCTCCGACTTAGCAGAATACTCCTCGTTCCCCCACATCATCAACTTCAAACTCGCCTTTTCTTTTTCCAGCATCCTCGCCTTTCGAACCGCTCCTCGGCAAAACTATAGATGTAAGGTGTGTTATAATCCCACCACCTCCCTTTTCCTCTTCCTCCTCAGTACCTCCGTTCATGTTTTTCTTCTCTGCATCAACTTCTTTGTCCTCACCTTGCTCTCTGCGAATGGACCCTTTTGCCGTCCCTTCACGTCCATTAACAGCTCCATGACCTTATCAGCAGGCTTTCAAACTCTGGTATAACATCCTCCATCTCTTTCTCTCGTTTTTTTTTTTTCTTTCAAAGAAATATTCTAAACTTCTCTGATTTACAGAAAGGGAGAATTAAAGAGCGATTCGAACTCAGTTGCAGAGAGGAGAGCACAATTTCTTTTATGTTTAGGGTTTGCAGATACTTTTTTGTGTATTCTTCTTCTTCTGTTGGGTGAACAGATGCAGCTTATGTGGAGGAGACAAGCGTCCTCCTTCCAAAGGGACTTGGATCCTCTCCTGAGCCCAACAAGAGGATCCTCCTGACCAAAGCAGGCTTTTAATGAAAAAACTATGGTTTTCCTACACGTACTCCGCTTCTCATGCAAAATTTCCAATGAGAGGTTACCACGTGTCGAAGTTTAGGGATGGTAGCACGTATCCTAGAATGGAGTCGGTGGGGGTAATGACTCCTTGTCGGATTTGAGCACCATGGTGAGACCATAGATTGCCAAGCGTTAAATGGATATAATTTTAGAACTCTAACAAAAAGTTTTTGGTTTCGTTTGTTTTAACGAAAAATCATAATTTTATACTAAAAAATCAATTCTGATACTATTCACTTACCCTTTATTTTGTCCTTATCTTTAAAACTTAAAGTTTTCAAGTCATTTTTATTAGTATTCCTTATAATTTTTTGAGAAGAGATCCAGAGACCAAGGTCACTAGATCAAGTGATTCGAACCTTTGAAATTTTATCCAACAATTCACCTGTTTTGATCTCTTAAAAACTATAATAATTTTTTACCGTTAGATGAAATATCAAAAGTTTGGATCACTTGATCCGGTGATCTTAGTGAAAGAGATCCGGAAAGAATCTCTTCTCTAATTTTTCATCAACAAAATGGATATAAATTCCTTTTTTTTTTTGTTTATCCGTGGTGAGTTTTATCCAAAAAATGGGGATATTTTACGTTTAGAAATGCTAAGTTCTCGATGGATTCTCTGTCTTGTGACATAATATTTTATAATTTTAGACTAAAACTTGAAGTTAAACTGTAAAGTTGATGAGAATTTATAAAACATTTGAGTTTTGAAGAGTCTCCTTCACATTTCTCCTATATGTTTCCTTTTTTAGTTTTATATGAGGTGAGTTTTATCCAAAAATGAATATATCTGAAGTGTGTTTTGTCCAAAAATTCTAAAGCGTGTCATCACATGGTATAATAAATAGATTGATGAATTCAACCGCTGATATGCACTCAACAATCTAAGAAAATCTTGCAAGAATCAAAGCCTACATCAGGCCATCTCCAACCGATGGCTGGCCAGAGGGCTCGTTTTAGCCCTCTGGCCCTCCAAGATTCTCCAAGATATTAATATTTTAATGAACAGTATAGGGCCATATTTGCCTCCGTCTCCAACCGAGGGCCAGAGGGCCAGAGGGCTCGTTTTAGCCCTGTCACAAAAAACCGTCTCCAACCGAGGGCCAAACATAATTTATTATTTAAAAACTACAATTTAAATTCAAATCTAACGGCTAGGTGACGTCAACATGATGTTAAATGTTGTTAAATGTTTTTAAAAATGTTGTTTAAGTTTCATGTTGTTAAATGTTTTTTTATGTTGTATAATTTGTATGTTGGTTAATGTTATTTAATGTTATTTTCATATTGTTTAATGTTGTTTCATGTTACTTAATTTAATTTAATGTTGTATAAATGGCCTAGGAAAAAAAATAGAATTGAAAAAAATTATGAAACAAATTTTTGTGAAATAGAAGTTATAGGAAATAAAATATGAATCAAATTTTGTAAAATAGAAGTTATAGGAAAAAAATAGAATTTAAAAAAAATTGAAACAAATTTTGTAAAATAGAATTGAAAAAAAATATGAAACAAAATTTGATTAATATGAAAAGGAAAAAAAAAGGGAAAAAAAAAAATTTAAAAAAAAAAAAAAAGGCCCTAATAATACAACGGCTACTAGCCGTTGTATTAAAAAACATTCAAACTATTAGTGTCGGTTATAACCGACACTAATAGTAGAACTATTAAAAATAAATAAAACCTGTTTAATGCTGTCGGTTTTAACCGACAGCAATAGAAAACATTAAAAAAAAAATAAGCCAGCCCTCCAGCCCTCCAGCCCTCTCCGATCCCGTGGGACCCTCCCAGATTCCAGAGCCCTCTGGCCTAGCCCTCGGTTGGAGACGGTTTTAGGGCTATTTTCGGCCCTCTGGCCCTCTGGACCCTTCGGTTGGAGATGGCCTCACCTTGTGGCCTTCCGACTCGCCAACCCCTCTTGTTATCTCGCACGAGCCTCTCTTCCTCTGCTCGTGCGAAATAAAAAGAGGGGACTTATGAAACGGAGGCTAGTATTATCCTTTCCAAATCAGCCCGTGAGTCATAACTTCGGTACGCTTAACGAGGCAAACTCGGTGTTAGAACACAGCTAAACCGTGTGTTAATCTCTCTCAAATTCTGATTTGAGTTGCAATTACAATCTCTCAACTTTTACTCTTAGTGATTAAACATGTGTAACTATACCATATCAAATAGATAGACAGACTCTTCGCTTCCGTTTTTGTGATCGCTGAGTCAACGGAAGGATCGGCTATTTAACACGTTAAATGGTTTAATACAAAAAATCTGATACAGTTTAATACCAAATGGAAACTAGAGGATTTTGGCAGCATGAAACAAACACAGCATTTTCAAATCTAACCTTACCAGCCTCCCATGCTTTCACAAGGGTATTCTCAAATAGCCGTCATCATCCTGGTTGACGCGAAGTACAAACAGATACCATGGAAGATTATATGTTGAACACCTCAATCTGAAAGAATGACAGAAAAGAAATTATCATTTGAAAGCAGATCTCATGCGTAAGTCACCATGAAGTGAAGGTGGAATTTTTTAGTGTTACCGTTCAGTCCACAGAAGTATGACATATTGTGAGTTAGCCATCACTTTGAATTCCCAAGGCTTTTTCCTGCTCAGCTTTCATCTCTGCCTCTCTTCTTGCCTTCCGCTTGGCATCCCTTGCAGCAGCATCAGCTTGAACTTTCTCCATTATCTTATCAAAACCAGGAATTGTTCGCTCCAGTTTCTGGTAGACTCGGCTGCTTAGGTTGTCGAAAATATTATACAGTCTCTGAACAAGAAAAAACCCACAAAGATTTAGTGGAAGTGCTTGCACATCCCTAAAGGGAAATTATGCAAAATGTCCTAAGAGGTTGAGAAACTGATATACAAATAAATCCCATAGTATGTTTTCACAAAACATCTATCCTCTTTGTATCCTTGGACTGTAGTTGTAATTACCAGGATTCACAATACCAAAATGTAAGAAAACTTTGATACTGTAACCAACTTATTACAATTGCCTGTAAGAGTTTTCTTTCAGCATGGTGTTTTATGATTATTTTCGACTACACCACTTGCCAATAAGCGTTTACTTGGAGTAAGTGTTCTACGATTAGATTTGTAACACAATCATACAACTCAAGAAAAACTAAAGTTGTAGTCAAAACTGATGTAAAAAGAAGTTCTGTACCTTGACATCATTATTCCAAGCTCGAATGTATGGAGGACCTGTCGCGTACGAGCCAAGTGGTTCACGGAACCACTCTCCCTCATATGTTATCTGATCCATTGCTTGTTCCACACTTAGAACCTCCCATGGCCTTAACCCAGGGATAATTTTAGACAATTCAACCCTTCTCTCACAAGCAGACAAAGATATTAGCAAAAAGAAAATATACTAGTGATTTTACACTGCAAGATATCAGATACCAAATGCAACATACCTAAGAGCTTTTGAAATGTATTTGTTCGGCATGTGATCCTCTTCTAGAATTGTTGTCAATTCAGAGCCACTAGCCCAAAGAAATAGAGCATGACTCGGAGTTCGAACACCTGGCCAAACACCATCGTTAGCTTCAAGTACTGCTAAGTCGCGTCTCTTGCTTTCTACAGCCTCCTCTTGTAGCTGCTTATAGGTTTTCTTCTCGCGTCCCTTGAGTGGAACCCAAGGAGGAATTCCTTTTTGTAGTTTGTGAATCAAAGCAGTCGCACCAGCCGCAAGTCTAACTGAAGTTCACCCAACGATAAGCCAAGAATCAATTTGTTGAAAATACAGAATTAACTTAGTTATTATGCTCCTATGAACAATTCATGAATGTACGATTACTTATCATATCTCATAAATTTCACAAAATTTCTTTCAAATATTTAGTACAAATTTGACATGCACATTAGATGATACTAGATAAAAACAGATATTGGCCCCATTGCCATCGTAGCTTAGTGGTAATTGAATTCCAATTTAAAGTGCGCATTGTGTTGCTCCTATCACATTATAATTTTGCAGTTAAAATAAAAAGGGATATTTATACCTTCCCAAGTGGCAATAGCAGGTTCCAACCCGTAAACCATGTGAATCGGAGCCCATTCATCCATGTCCTCACCCCAAATGAACGTGTCTTTATCAATAATCCCAGCACCCCAAGCCGTTTTAAGGGTTATTAGCTCCAACGGACCTCTTGTTCGACCTAACCGGTCCTTATAGTAAAATCCACCGCTCCTCATGATAACTATATCAACATAAAATCAATGCTTTGAACAAACTGTGCAGATTAACAATCAAGAAAACATCAAACAACCCTCTTATCCAAACAAATCCCGAATGTCAATAACGAGTTCAACCTGAAGAATCATTGCTTAACAACACAATGGAAGAATGAGACATTACTTGAACTTGAGTCAAACAGCTAAATTGTGATTAAAACATTTGTAGTCAATTCTCAGATTCACCAAATAACTGCACGAAATGTTAACCGTGGCTCGAAAATCCATTTCATAGACTCACTACATTATGCAGCAATTAACGAACTTCAACCTAACATATGCAAATGCAATCACCACAAAGATTTAACTCCACAAACTTACAATCATAATACCGCTTTTCGAGCCGCTTATACCCGATTGCCTGAGCAACATCGATGGGCCGGCCGGGTGGGTAGGGGCGCTGGCGGAACCCCCAAAGCCCAAAAAAGAACTGCCTTGCAAAATCCCAGAACTTATCATCAGACTCCTGCCTCGTCTTTATCGCCTTCCTCGGCATAGGCCTCCCGTCCGGCCCAATAACATGTGGCACCGCCTGCCACAGCTTCTTATCCTCGTCCCTGTACGGCCTATCATTCTCCTTCAGCTCCAGCTCATTCACCATATCCGCAATCTTCTCCGCCTGGGCCAGAAACTTCACCACCGGGCTCTCCCGGAACTCCTTCCAGAACCTCTCGTTCTCCCGAAGTTCCTCCTCCGTTGGGTTCTCCTTCTTTTCGAAAATCGGGTCTTCGTTCAGAATCTTCTCGACTTCCGGGGAGTGTCTGTAATCCGGGTCGTTCTCGCACTCCCAGAAGAACCGCTCCAGCATCTGGGTGTAGTGTCCGGGTTTTTCCGGCTCGGGGTCAGATGGGTTTTTGGGGTCGGGTTTCGGGGGGCCGTTGAAGAGGTTTGAGAGGCTAAGGGAGGAGAAATTGGGAGGGGATTGGGCCGCGGTGGTGCGGTGGAAGAAAGAGTCAGTGAGGGGGAGGAGGTTGATGGGTGGCAGGGGGTTTGGGGGTTTTTTGAACCAGCTTTCGAAGGGGTTGAAGTTGATGGAGGCCATTGGAGGAGAAGGATGTGAGAATTCGGAAAGCCTCTCAAATATTTGGGGTTTATCGTTGACAAGGTTGAAGAAATGGACTTGGAGTGACAGAGCGTGTGAGAGTGAAGGGGTTTTGACTGTTGAAACTGGATATGATTCAAATTTGGGCCTGGGCTCAACATGCTCACAACTTTCTTCCGGGCTTGGGTATGAAGATGTCGGTGAGGATTGAGGATAAGAGGCTTTTCTGATGCACATCTGAAACAAAAACCGTTATATCTCATTAAGTTAAATAATTTAGCGGTCGTTATTTAAATGTGTAACTTAAATGTACGCTAGAGAAAATTCAATAAGAATAATGCGTCTGTTCTGTTGCCGGTATGTAATTTACGAATATCGCTTTGCGGATAAATAATTTATCAGATGACATCCTTCTTAGTTTATGTTGTCACACATGCTTTTGTTTTTGTTTTGTTCATCAAAGCATCCCTCATACTTAGTTTATTATTTTATAAAATTTCCTAAGGCTTCCTCATCCCTCATACTAATATATTGGTCTCACACTAGTGTAATAGTAGTATTATAGATATTAAACTCATACTGCATGATTTTTAAATATAAGTATCATACTCACTCAAATTGTTGTAAGTGCAAACTTAGAACAAGGTTGTATTTCAGAATCAATTGAGTATTTAGAAATCACATTCTGAACCATACAACCTAAATTGATAACAGTTGTAGACTAGACATAAGAGCATCTCAAGGAGATGTAGCAACCCAATTAACAAATTGAAAAAGTCGTAAGTCACCCTTCAAATATATACAAGATGAGTTTCTACTTTTTCAATTTGGCAATTTGGGCTCTACAATATATTTTAATAAAAAAAATTATTATTTATTGATGGATTAAGTACCTAAAACTTTCTAATTTTTTTATCGTCATTCTAAATTGATCTCAATCTTTTTAAACATTCCAAACAAGTACCCAACCTATTGAAAATGTTACAATCGTTAATGTAATACTCTAAAAATTTAAAATATATGAATATGTGGAGTAAAGCGAGAATACATAGATTTATGGTTAAGAAAATTTGATTAGAGAAATTCTAGAATTTTGTTTATGGGATTTATTATAATTTACATTGAAAATTTTATCGAGAAGCGGAAAATAACAAAAATGGCCCTAGTTGGTAACGTAGTTATACGAGGATGTATTTTATCCTCATATATTTTATCGTATTTCTAGGCATATTTGGATAGAGCTCGACCCTACGAGCATGTAGGCGAAAACAGTTCGTGAAACGGAGCTATAACGAAGGAATTATTAACGTTTAAAGTTGAGGATATTTTTGTAATTTAACCTTTACTCTAGAATGCTCCAGATTTTCTGGAGCAATCTAATGGAGCCACGTGGACATTTTGGACGGTTGTGATGAAGAGTGGAGGAGAGAAAGGAGAGAAAGGAGGGCCAATCGGGGGGGGGGGGAGAACAAGGAGGGAAATGAGAGAAGAGAAAAAAAAGGGGGGGGGAACTGGTGTTTTTCCCGACCTGACACCAATCTAGCCAATCACCGCCATCCATCACTTGGAAACAACTCCCTAGCCTTCCCTCTTTCATCTCCACCCAAAAACCACTTCGATTAACCCAATTTTGGGAGGAACGGAACCCATTGGTTATGTGGGTGTTACGGCAAGATACATCGATTCCAAAGGTCTCGACCACCACCACCACCATCAAACTACTCCTCTAGTGGCCAGGAACAAAGCCCAAATAAGTTTGGGGGAGTCGGAGTTCGTTTTGGGAGAACACCCATTTCAAGGGTTTCCAGCGGATCGAGGCTATTTTCAAGGGTTTTCCGGCCGAATTGGACTTCGACCCATGTATGAAAGTTGTTCCTCTCATTGAACTCTACTTGCCTGTAAAATTTGGTAATTTTTAGAGTTTGTCGAAAAATTTGGTTTCCGTTCGCCGGAAACCGCCACTTGCGGTGGCGCATGGCCAGTGGCCCGACACTGCCTTTTCATGTAAATTTGGATATTTTAAATCCGTAATTGGTACCATTTGATGTGATTCGATTATGAAAGCTAATGTTGAATATTTCCGTTACTAGAATATTTCGGAAATGGATAAAAGAATGAATGTGAACTACGAAAGGCTTGATCTGTTCAAGGGTATGTAGGCAGTCTAACGGGAGTTAGATGTAGCCTTAAAATAATCAAGATTAATCTTTTGTTGAAAATTTTTCTAAGAAAAGGAATTGGGTGATTAATTTAAAATTAACCTTATGTTTTTGGTAAATAAATTGGGTTATAGATTTTGTGAGTAACTAAGAATTAAATAAAAGAATTGTGATTAGTGGTAGTAAATAAATAAGAGTTTAATTTTGGCCTATCACCGAAATTAGTTTCTGAAATAAAATTTTTTGGTCGGGGTGTTATAGTTAAGCCCCAGTTAAATTTCTGTTAAATTAACTAGAGCCTACTTTGTCTCCAATATCAATAGAAGGTCATGGAAGCATGACCTCCACCAACAGCCCCACCCCATCAGGCAATCACCTCCAAACCCAACATATAACCACCAACTCCACCCTGCAACTCAAGGACACTCCAAGCATGAGCAAAGCAAATATGCTATAGCGGTTGGGAGTGGTCAAAAAAGGGTATCCACTTCACATCATCACCCACATGGATCACATAGAACTTCAACATGTTATCAAAGAGGCAAATCTGGTGGTAGATGCACAAGGTGACTGAGGGCATACAATAGGTTTGAAGTACTAGAAATAAAACTAGATTCATTCTTGTAGGTGGTGGCCACTATTTGATTGGGTTGTTCTTTCTCCTCTAATATCAAGATTATGATGGTGAACATCAATATCAGCATAAGTTCTTTCTCCCCTTTTATGAGTCTTCCTCCCTTATCATTTTATCAAATTTAACCCACTCTAAGACTTAATATGTTTTACACTAAGTAGGCTAATCAAAGTTTTAAAGACTAGTATAAAGGTTGGGATGGAGTTTCGGTGGTCGTAGGTTGAGCTTGGAGGTGGTGGGGGCTTGATATTACTCGATCTTCATTTTTGTTTTTCATTTTATTTGTGAGTTTTTTTTTATTTTTTATTTTTCATCTTCATGTCCGTGTTTGAAAGAAGTCAGTTACAAATTATCGTACATACTATTGTAATACTAATATAGTGCATTCTAATCCTGCCTATTCAACATTTTAGGATTTATCCCTTACTAAATTGACATCAATCCTTTGAGAATTTGAAATCTCTCATCCAAACATAGCTTAAAGGTTGCAAAAAGTTTTCACATTAGTTCCTAAATGACATTTTAAAAGATAAATTTTCACATAAAAAGGATGGGGATTCTCTCCCCTCCCTCCCTTCCTTTCACAGTTTTTTCTTCTTCTTTCTCTCTACAAAGATGAAATCTCAAACATTCAAACATGAGGGGAGGAAAGTGGAGGGAAAAAAAGAAGGGAAATGATCCTTGTCCCTTTTAGAAATGCTCTTTGTTAAAGCAAGCTACCATCTCCTTTGTTTGTCTAATAGAAATGAAGAAGTTCTCGAAAAAAAGATACTTCTATTAGATTGAAATCTAGTTGGTAGCACACTACAATTTTTGTGAAGTTGGAAACCAACTCTGAGAAAAGGGCAATGGACAGAGTGAAAAGAGAAGGCCAGCCAAGTTCCCCAAGTTACGGCCACTTATCCATAAGGGTGCGTTTGGTACGCAGACGGGACGGAACGGGACGGGACGGGACGGGACGGGACGGAACGAAGGTGTAATTTTTGAAAAATACATGGGGTATATTTGTCTTAAAATGGTAAAACAGTGTGTTCCACAGACGTGGAACAAACCCGTTCCAGGGGGGAGGTGGGACGCAAAAACACCCAAAATCTGTCCCGTGGAACAGCCCGTTCCACCCATTTTTGGCGTACCAAACGCGGGACGGAACGCCTCGTCCCGTTCCGTCCCGTCCCGTCCCACGTACCAAACGCACCCTAAAGATACGAAAAAGGACATATACTTTCAACTATTTTCAATCTTGTGCAGTTTGAGAGCACGTGAATGAATGTCCAGAAAAATGATTTGATTTGATATGAAAACTCAGGACTGGAAAAAAATCCTAAAAATCCCAACCAAACCGAAAAGATTTCGATCCCAAATCAAAAAAATTGCAAACTAAAATTTTTCCAAAATTTTCGGTATGTCATTCCAAATCAAACCGAAATTTTCGGTACAAGATTTGGTTTTGCATCTCTATTTTGTCAGTATTCCCATACTGAACCGAAATAAATATTATATATATATATATATTATTTTTTAATTATAAAAAAATTATTTTAACCATTCATTATTTGTAAAAATATGATTTTTCATTAAAATGAACTGTTTTCGTTAAAACTCCCTTGTTTAATCTGTGCAGTCCATCGAACTCGAATAGAACTTGAAGCGCAGCCGCCACCAGCCTTCCTTCACCACACTGCCTTCCTTCGAATCGTCTCTGACTCTCCAGCGGCCCAGCCTTCCTTCACGAATCACCACCCAGCCACCGCCACGCCAAAGCATCAAAGACAGAACTCTCCAGCCTTCCTTCACGATTCCTTCACGAATCGTCTCCGACTCTTGCGATCTCTCTCTCTCGGGCGATTTTCTCTCACAGACAGAACTCTCGATCCAGCACCGAGTCCGAGTCTCAGTCTCACCCCAAATTAGGTAATTAATTTAATGTTTTGAAATCTAATTTCTGTCACTCATCCAAAATTTAGTGCCCAATTGACAGTAGGGATTGTTGAAGGGCTCAAGGCCGGTTATAGACCCACTGATGGCCTAATTTATTCATGTCGTTGGCAATTTCTTTTTGTGTGTGTTAATAACTTATACATTTCTTCCATCTTCATCTGTTTGTTAGTAGTCATTCAATAATTAAAATGATGTTTGATTGAGTTTATCGTATTCTTTTTTAAAAATCGTTTCTTTTATTGATGATGCGCTGCGGCACCCATGTGTGATGCTATGTACTTGGTTTTGGCAGGTTGTAGGGGGATTAAATCTGTGGGAAGGTTCTCTTGATCTGGTTAAAGCTCGAAGATCTGAATTTCAAAATGGACGTTTATCATTTGCCGTTAAACGCGTTTTAGAGGTGGGCATCCTAATATTTTCAGGTGAATGTATTGTATACTGTCCCACGATGCCTTCACCTGTTAACCTTTCACATCTTAACATTTTTCCTGCTACTTTAGCTCATATGATTCATGCCTGGTAGTCTAAATCTCGAGTGTAACGTTTCTTAGTCGTAAGTTCATAAAATGAGACGTGCAAGCTTCTTTGCCTTGAAATGTATTATATCCTTACAAACAGAAACTAATTTTGTTTCTGGTTGCATCTTGCTCGCTTCGTTCAGAATGTTGGTACTAGGTTTCCCCACTGTGTTAGTCCATTAATTTCATGTTCACATAATACATACAGGGAAACTCTTCAACTTTCTAGATGGCTAGTTCAAATTGTTAGGCTCTAATATCATAGCTTGGAAGTGGAGAATTTCAACTCAATTCTTAATGAACTGCACTTTCGTTGCGATACCTTAACTAACAAAGGGTTTAATGAGATGATGATGAGATGAAAATTAGTTTTCCTTTTTACACTTGTATCTAAAGGTTATGGTCATTTTTCGCAAGTTGGGTTGTCTATGGAATTGGGTAACGGTGGAATTCGTTTTATGATGATGAGATGAAAATTATAGTGCATTTTGTCTATTGAACTTTTCTTGATACAACGATATTCTAAACTGCTATGATTTATGGGGAATAGGGATTCAAACTCGGGCAGTTAATGTGGTTGCTTTCTGTTCTTTTGTGCAATCTGGGTTGTCTATGGATTTGGTTCACCGGAGGATTTCATTTTTATGATAATGAGTTGAAGTGGATAGGGATTCGAACTCGAGTGCATGTATGACGTAACTGTTGGAAGGGTTTTTGTAGTTGTTTTCTGTTCTTATGTAAAAATATTGGTTTTGTTCTAAAAAAATCTCTGAGCATGTTGTACTTGTCATGTTTTCTAAATTGGCTTTTTGTCTACCCTTTTGTGGAGCAGATGTGATTTATTTTGTGTAAAATTTTTGGCACCAAAAAGAAATTATGGCACTGAGGAAGAAATTGTGCGAGAGATCCAATTTCAATGGCAAAATTATGGACATCTTTGCAAGGTATTACAGCTCGAAGATGGACTTAAGGAAGCTAAAGCCTATGATTCAAAAGAGAATCCAAAACCGAGCTAAAGATTACCCAGTGCCTACCATGGTACCAGTTGCCCAGGAGGTCCTTGATTCCCGGAGGCTCGTTATGCAAGGTGTCTCTACTCTTCTCAAAATGGTACCAGTTTTGGCCTGCAAGTAAATTCCTCATCTGCCAAATATTTGTTTACTAATAAAATAAATTCTTTTTAAGCCTTGAACTACTTGGCACTTTATTGTTCCATCGCATAGTTACTGACAGTGACATGTCATGTCCTGGAATAATACTGACTTTGAAGCTCCAGTGTTTATGTTCTGTATTTCTTGTTTTGGAATAATTAGACCATTTTATCTGAATGTTCCTGACTCCTGAGCTCCCTAAATGTTATTTTTAGGAGCAGCACAAGCTATGTTTTCCAAACTAGATTTATCTAATTGACCTTCTGTTCTCCATACAGCTCTTTTTGAACAATTTACGTGACTCAACGAAAGGCCTACTTTTTGCAGGTTCTGTCCAGAAGTATATATAGGTGAGAAAGGCCACTTAATTCAGACTTGTTGTGGCTTCAAACGTCGTGGCAAAAATCGAGTTCATGAATGGATAGTTGGTGGTTTGAAAGATGTGCTTGTTCCAGTAGAGGCATTTCACCTCAAGCACATGTTCCAGGATGTTATAAAACACCATCAGAGGTTTGACTTTGAACGTGTTCCTGCAGTTGTCGAGCTATGCTGGCAAGCAGGGGCAAATGATGGAAATTACTTAAATTGGAACTCTGAAAATGATTGTGTTGGCGTTGATGGAGCTGAGTCTTTGTCATCTGATGAACTGATTCTGGTCGCCAGTGGAACTTTGAGGGCATGGGAAATACTTAGAAGTGGCGTGGAGAAGTTGCTGATGGTTTATCCAGCGAAAGTCTGTAAACATTGTTCAGAAGTTCATGTTGGGCCATCTGGGCATAAGGCTAGGCTTTGTGGAATTTTTAAGTATGAGAGTTGGCAGGGAACCCATTTTTGGAGGAAGGCAAATGTAGATGATCTTGTACCTCCAAAGACTGTATGGCGGCGGCGTCCTCAGGATCCTCAAGTACTTTTGAATGAAGGGAGGGGATTTTATGGGCATGCTCCGGGAGTAGTAGAACTATGCACACAGGCAGGTGCCATTGCACCTCCGAAGTATCACTGCATGATGAAACTGCAGGGTGTAAGTACCATACTTGGAGATCAAAGGTTGCTCCACCCGAATGATGCCGGTTGATTCGAAGGTAGAATATTGAACCCAGCAGAAGCTCCCCAAGACTGTTGGATCACAGGTGTGTAGAATTGCTTATAGCTGTAACACTTGATGATCTGAAATGGGAAAACGAAACACCACAAAAGCTCCCTTTAGATGGTCTGTTCTTCGTTCTTGAGAATGATTGTAACATCAGATGACTGACAACGGAGTTCAAGATGGGTTGCAAAATCAACTGAACGCGTATTGCCCCCTTCAGTTGGAGCATGAAAGAGCTGATCAAATTTGTAGCTTTGCTTTAGCTATGCATGCAGAAACAGGAACGCGAAAATTTAATTAAGCTTTTCTTGTATTTAATGATGTTTTAGATGGTTAATTCAACTTAATAAATCATTGGAACGCTTATTACTTATGCTTCTCTGTAGATCTTCGGTACTATGACTGGTTTACGATTGATTTTCAGCTATAGGATTACTGTTCTTGTGCATATCAATGTTTACTGCGATAGACTGTCCCCAGATGCCGCTTGAAGCTGAAGTTACCTGCTCAGAACCAATTGCCTCTGCTCATTGACTGTGCTCGAGTCTTCAGTTTCACCAGAATGCTGGTCGCATCGAGCAAACTCGAGGCAGTTTGTATCACAAGACAAGGGCTGGCCCTGAGAATTCGGGGCCCTAGGCGAGCCTTCGAAGTGGGGCCCTAGAGTTCTCTGACTTCCGACCCTTTGTACATTGACATGTGTAAAAAAAAAAATCACTAAATACATGAAAAAGTCTATTTCTACATCAAATATCATTAAAAATTAATATAAAAAATTAAAAAAAAAGATATACAAACATTACTCAAATATTACCCATCTCGCGTTTTTAGATGCAAATGCATTTATTAAGTTTACATAATCTAATTTTTCAACCAATTCAAACTGAAAGAGAAGTCCCTACACAGTATGCCAAATTTCAATCATTTTCCTATTATTACAATGTTACTTATTACATTAAATAAATGAATGAATGAATGTATAAACATAAATGTGATATTTAAGAGAAAAGCAAAAAAGTAAAAATAAGATGGTGGGACTATTTAAAAGGAAGAAGACGTGCAACTATAAAAAAGATGATGTGACAATCTTAAGTAAAATCGTGCAATTAAAATGATGTTGGGAATAGGGTTGTCTTCTTCCTCGCACGAGGCCGACCCTGCAGCAAAAGATTTTTAAATTCCGACGTTTACATATAAGCCCGCATAGCTCCTGCCCTTCTCCTTCCAGACCTACCTGGCTCCGCCTAAAAATTGGGGGCCCTTCCGAAGTGGAGGCCCTAGGCGGACGCCTACTCCGGCTACCTTCAAGGCCGGCTTTGCACAAGACTCAATCTCCTCGACAGAAGGTCACTCTTTATTCCATTCATAGTCTTGAGAAAAAAAAGGATCTCGAAAAATTCACAAATGCCGTACTCGCTCAAGTTGCGAAATTCGTTTTCCAACTCGATTCCACAAAAAAGAGTGACATTCTTTTGATGGGTGTGCCATCACCATCACACAGTTTCTGTTCTATTCTCTTCAATATTCGCGTGAATTTGTCTATGGAAATCTTGTCGCACTCACGAAACTGGTCTATGTACCTGTCGCAAGTGTTGATGGAGTTTCCTGGTCGATCATCAAGTTCGCCATCAAGGTTGTCCTCCACGAAATCTAATACACAGCCTGAAGATCTGAGGCCTTCCCACTGCTTGGAAAGAAAGCTCATGCGAGCCGCGGGGATAGTGGGGAGGAGTCGGAGGATTCGGTGGATAACACCTTCGGGTACGTGATGCCGCGGCCGCCCCGTTGTTTCCACGTTGTCGGCGTTTTGGTCATCTGTGTTAGTGTTTTTGGTAGACATGATAGAAATCCAGCCGGATTTGTGAATGCCAAGTAAGGGTACCTGTGAAATGTAGACGTTCCATCCTATATGTAATTGCATTACTTGATGAGCAAGTAATATCTCCCAAAATAATTGCATCACTTGCCGAGCAAGTAATATATTCTAAGCCCTCTCATTCTTCGTCACGCACCCTCTCTCTCTTCCAATAAGCCCAAACCTCTAAACTTCGGGTCAAAGTAATTTTATTTCGGCCCGGCCCAACTTGGGTCCACCTAACCTTTACAAATACGAGCTGCATGCTAGCTAGGGTTCTGGATTCGATTCCAAAGCTAAGATTTTTTTTTTTTTTTTCAGATTGTGCTCCGCCATTGAATCCTCTTCCAAGTTTCGCCTTTTCGCACAACAGAGGTGTTATTCTCCTACCTTCTTCGTTTTTTGAAATTGTTATCGATTCTAGGGTTTGATTCGTTCGTGTCTTACCTGTAAATCGATAGAGCGAGGTGTATGTTGAATTTTTTTTCTTTTGGGCTATGATCTAATTGTATGTGGGTTTTTTGAATTTCAGAGAATTTGTTCTTCCTAATTATCCATGTTATCTGAAATTTGTTAATTTTATTGGTTTAATTGGTTGTCCTCTAATTTGGAAGATTTATTTCTTGAAGTTAATGAGTCACATATGCTCCACAAAAGGGTAGACAAAAAGCCAATGAGTCAATCCAGAAAACATAACAAGAAGTACAACATATTCAGAGATTCTTTTAGAACAAAACCAATATTTTTACATAAGAACAGAAAACAACAACAACAACCAAAGTAGAACTCCTTAATCATAAAAATGAAATCCTCTGGTGAACCAAATCCTTAGACAACCTAGATTGCACAAAAGAACAAAAAGCAACCAATGTGTTTTAGGAAATTGTTCAGATTCTTCATGTTCTTGTTGGTGATCTTAGTAATTCCATCTTAGTTATATTTCACGAACAGAGCTTGGCTGCTAATTTATCAGTAGCAGCTTATGTTCCTCACCAATCGTAGATGGACACGTGTCCAAGTAATTATTTTTTAATAACAAATTGGACACATATTCATCTGCGATTGGTGAGGAGCAAGAACTGCTGCTGATTTTTTCAGTAGCCAAGTTCTATTCATATTTCACACGCATGTGTGTGTCTGTCTGTATCTCGTTTCACTATTCACGGAGTGGAAAGCATCCTGTACATACTGACCATGTATTGACCACAGTGATTGTCTATAGTTCAATATTATTGCCCTTTTGTTGGCTCTACAACATAAGGGGTGTTGTGAATACATGGTCACCATACAGGCAAGACGAGGGTACTATTCATCTCGCTATGTAGACAGTGAGCGGAACTCCTCTTAATGTGTGTGTGTGTGTGTATTGTTCTGGTGATTTGAACTGGTTCATTATTTGAGAATTAAAAGCTTCATCGATTACAATTTTTTTCTTTGATATACACATATAGATTTTGAAGGAAGATTTGCTACGGAAACTGCGAAGCTTAAACCCCCACATAGATTTGTGCAATGGGTGATTGTCAATAATAAACTTCAAGAGGTAGGTCACTTAGTAATTCACCTAGTTAGCTTTTTTTGTGAGAGAAACCTACCTAAGATGTCACGTTGTCTATATCTCGAGCCAATTTACTTGAAAACTGGTCAATGTGGCATTCAAGATATGGGTAATTAAGTTGTTATCGGGTTTTGTCACTCTCATTTATAATTTGTTCTATGTATTTCGGACTACCAAAACTTTATGTCCAACCTCCACAAGCTTGCAGATCAATTGGTTATGAGATTGAATCAACCGGGCAAGAAAAACCGGTTCCTCGAGTTTTCCTTGCATATCATGTTGTGCCTTGGCCCGTTTGTTAGTGCGGAAACGAGATTCAGATTACAACTTCACCAAATCACACTCAGTTGAACAGAATAAAATACAAGAAATAAAGACACCGAAAAATTTACGAGGTTCGGCAAAAACATGCATACGTCCCCGGAGAGACATTGCTCTTCATTATGAATAACAGTACAAGTACACATGAGTTAAATCAACATAACCCAATCCTAAATCCCTTGCACACCCACTCATAGAATTTTCCCAAGAACCTCACTCTACCCCAAGAGTTCTTTCACTAGAGATATTTTTCACTCTACCTCTCTTGATTTTCTCTCAACCCATGTTCAACCTTTCCCATGGGAGAGCCGAATGCTCTCTCCTTGGATGCTTCTATGATGCTTACCTTCCCACTTTCTAAGCATACTAAATGCACAAATATTGCATCTAGTTATAGGCATAAACTAGCAACTATACCAACAACCAAGACCAAAAAGTCTTGAGTTCACATGACATAATCATCACCTAGCCTACCTAGCATGCACCAAAGTCTATACCTAGTCTATAAAGTACAACTTTTCCAAAGTCTATACCTAGTCTATAAAGTACAACTTTTCTCCATTTGTCATTTAATGCATAGAAGAGAAAGCATGCACAATTGCATGCAAGCAAACACAAAGTCACGGTTGCTACCATTTTCTTGTAGCATTCACATGATCTTCAATTGTTGTCAACACATGACTCATAATTACTCACAAATGTATGAGCCAAACACAACAGATCATTGATGTCGTGTTATTTCTCTAGGCTTTTTCATGGAAGCTCCAAAGAACATTTAGATGCCGGCGTCATGAATTAATGATGGAGGTGACCAAGTGATGGCAAACCTGACAGCACTCGATTGTCATTGATTACATCTTTCACATTACTATAACATTGGTGAATAACAAAATATTCAATAGGTTAGGTGCCAGCGACGGTTTCACGCAATGGCGAGTGAAGGCTATTGTTCCTACTCGCCTGTTTTGCTATCGACGATCTAAAAGATTTCCATCTCTACTTTGAGTATAACTGCCGTGGGGTAAGCTGTTTAACAAAAGTCCTCCGAGACGACTAAAGCAAAATAAGAATGGGCATTTTCTACTATATCTTGCGCCCAATAAGAAAATTTCCTAGATCCGTCACTAGATGATGTGTGTATAGCGAGAATTAGAAACATGTTCGGAAGACTTGTTGCCAAAATTATACTAGACAAACGACTCTTGTTTCTGCAGAAAGTTGTACGGAAACATTGATTGCCATCTTATGATGAGATTCTTATCCACGATAGTAAGAAACAAAAACCCTACAGTAAAAGACATAAAAGTAAATAGAAACTTTAACCCTACAAGCATTTTCCAAATTAAATCGAAAGGGATTGGACAGCTACAAAATGAATTTACAATAAATATTTGGAAATTGATATCACAAGTTTGGTATATTGGTAGGAGGTTTTTAATTAAACCAACTGCATAAACCCAGCAGCTCTAAAATCCCAGAGACATGGCTGCTGCTACTTATTTATTCTTCACTTTGATCATTGCCAGCACTTTGTGCTCGTTCGGATCAGTTCCGAGTATTGAAGCTCAGAAACTTACTCTCTCAGTTTACTATGAAACTCTTTGCCCCCGTTGTGCTACTTTCATCGTCAAAAATCTTGCTCG